CTTTCGTTTCTTCCTTTGATGATGATTCTCCAACCTCGTGTCTAACATCATTTCTTGTACAATACCTACATCATCATTAACACAAGAATCCTTCCTCGGAAGGAGATTATCATCGAAAACAACATGTATAGGCTCTTCTACAACTAAAGTTCTTTTATTAAATACTCTATAAGCTTTAGAATTTAAGGAATAACCCAGAAAAATTCCTTCATCACTTTTAGCATCAAATTTGCCAAGGTTTTCTTTACCGTTGTTTAAAACAAAACATTTACATCCAAAAGGATGAAAATAGCTAATGTTAGCCTTTTTATTTTTGAAAATTTCATATGGAGTTTTCTTTAAAATTGGCCTAATCATTACTCGATTTACAACATAACAAGCGGTATTTGTGCTTCTGCCCAAAAATATTTTGGCAAATTATTTTCACAAAGCATGGTTCTAGCCATTTCTTCTAAAGTTCGATTTTTCCTCTCAACAACTCCATTTTGTTGAGGGGTTCTAGGTGCTGAAAAATTATGGCTAATACCATTAGAATTACAAAACTCATTAAATCCAAGATTTTCAAATTCAGTGCCATGATCACTTCTAACACTAGTAATAGAGTAACCTTTTTCGTTTTGGATTACTTTTGAAAATGTGATAAAATTTTCTAATACTTCATCTTTAGTACTTAAGAATAGAACCCAAGTATATCTAGAAAAGTCATCTACCAAGACAAATGCATATTTTTTTCCACCCAAGCTAGTAGTCCTAGTTGGCCCAAAAAGATCTATATGGATCAATTGTAATACTTTACTAGTTGATACGTCATTAATGGATTTAAAAGAAATTCGCTTTTGTTTTCCTTTAGCACAAACATCACAGATTTTATCATTATCAAATTTAAGCTTAGGCAACCCTCTTACTAAGTCTCCTTGAATTAGTCGTTGCAAAACACTCATACTAGCATGTCCTAGTCTCCTATGCCATAACCAACTATCATGTTCATCCTTAGCAACTACGCACAAATTAGTCATATTAATAGAATCTAAATGCACCATGTATATGTTTCCTATTCTATGACCAACAAGCATAATCCGATTAGATGCAATGTCGATGACTTTACAACCATTAATTTCAAACATGACATTGAATCCCTTATCGCATAATTGACTAATACTCAATAGATTATGCTTTAATCCATTCACATATAACACATTTTTAATTTGTATGGAAGAGGTATTACCTATAGTACCAATACCTTCAATGTGACCTTTTGAATTATCACCAAAAGTCACTTCTCCTCCATTTTTGGCGTTAAGCTCTATGAACCAGCTTTTGTCTCCAGTCATGTGTCTCGAGCATCCACTATCAAGGTACCATGAATTTGGATTTGTTTCTCGTGCCTTGTAGCAATGCTCCTTTTCCTACAAACATAGATTAATTTCTAATTTTTGGTACCCAAATTCTTTTGGGTCGATATTCATTAGTTTCTAAAATCCTTGTCCCCTTTGGTATCCATTTATTAAGGACATCCTTATCTTTAGTAGTAATGAATTCTTTAGGAACCCATATACTCCTAATAATTTTACCATTCAAGGTTCGTTGAGGACTTCTATGATTGTAGCTTCTAAAACTTTTCTTAACAAAGTTGGATTTTGAATTCTCACCTTTTTCAAAACTTTTTGTTCCAACCTTATTAAAAGAAGTTTTAAGATCATCAATCTTCTTTTGATGATCATCATGAACTTTTGAAAGTAAGTTATGCAAATCAGTATTTTTCTTTTGATTTGAAATTCTTTGATCTTACTTTCAAGCTCATTGTTGGTGTTGGATATAAGACTATTTTCGTTTTTCAATTTTGAAATATCATTTTTGTATTTTGAAAATAGAGTCTTATAATCCGAAGCCAACCCATTATAATCCTCTAATAACTCATCATAAGATAATTCATCCAAATCGAATGAGTTAGAGGTTACCTTAGAATCTTCCTCGATAGCCATCAAGCACAAGTTTGCAACTTCTTATTCCTCTTCATCGGAACCTTCTTCATCGCTCCATGTAGCTACATGAGCCTTGTGCTTCTTTTTGGATTGACCCTTTTTCTTCAAATCATATTTAACATGCCCTGACTTTTTGCATTCATAGCAAATGATCGGTCTTTCTCCTTCGATTCAGTTTTGAAACCTTCATGACATTTGAATTTTCTTCCTCGGATGGGCATCATCAACTTTCTGAATCGTTTGGCAAATAGTGCCATTTCCTCGTCGTCGTCATCGTCATTCGAATCACTCTTATCTTTTGTGGATTTGAGAGCAACTCCAATGTATTTCTTCTTCTCCTTATCCTTTGGTGTCTTGTCAATCTTATGGAGGTCCACTTCATCTTCAAGCATCATTTCATGAGTGAGAAGGGAACCGATTAGTTCTTCAAGAGTTAAGGACGTTAGGTCCTTAGACTCGATGATTGCCGTCTTCTTTGATTGCCACGATTTTGGAAGGGAGTAGACTAACTTCCTCACAATATTTTCATTTGAAATGATCTCTCCATATGATTTGAGACCATTGACAATCGTTGAAAATCTATCCGTCATAGCTTTGATATCTTCATTTGGTTTCACCCTGAAATTTTTATAGTTATGCGTTAGAATACTAATTTTAGATTTCTTTACCTCATCGGTACCTTCATGAGTGACTTGAAGTTTGTCCCATATTTCTTTGGTGGTTGTACAAGATGAAACTCTTCCGTATTCATCTGATCTAAGAGCACAAAATATGATATGGATGGCTTTGGAGTTGAGCTGGAACATTCTTGTCTCTCATTCACTCCACAATCTTGGATGAGTGAGAGACTTGATGTATCATTCTTCTACGGCATTCCATGCTCCCATGTCACTTGCTTGAATGAAGTACATCATCCTATTTTTCCAATAGGCATAGTTAGCCCCATTGAAGAAATGAGGTTTATTGACGGGCATTGAATTGAGACCGGAGTCGAAGTTTGAAGTGGAGACCATTGATGACTTTGATTATCGATGTAACTCTTCCCGAATCGACTCAAGAGGCGATTAAACCTTCAAATGAGTTAGGCTTTGATACCAATTGTTGAGTTAATCGATCAATGGAATCGGCCAAGAGGGGTTGAATTGGCAATTAAAATTTTGGTGGAAGCTTTTGCAAAAAATTGAAAGTAATTGCACAGCGATTTACAGTGGTTTGACTTTCTCAACAAAGTCTACGTCCACTACCTTAGCTATCCACACTAAGAATTTTCCAACAAATTCACTAATTTGTTCTTTCTTTTGAGGCCAAAGAGATACTTAAACTCTCTCAAGAATTATACCCCAATTCTTGAGAACACTCTTTCTCAAAGAGAAGATTAGAAATTTCGCAAACTTACAAGAAAAACCTCACAAGGTAAGATGTTTGCATAATTCTAGAACAAAGAAAGAACACTCAAGAATAAATATAATTGAGCACAATAAGTGTTCTAGATTATCTCATTGAAATTGTTATCATATAAACAATATGCTAACTTAAGTACAGTGTTGCACGAACAAATTATTATCATTTCAAGAAATGAAAAATGTAACTTGTTTTGTATTGAACATAGTCAATAACAGATGAATACTCAGAACTAAAAATTTAAACTTAATGTTTCAATCCAACCGATATCAAACGGGTATAAAAGAGACTGAAAAAAATTACCCATCAATAGTTTACCATCCAAACAAGAACAAAACCATCTCTTTAGGAAAAAGAAATTGAAAAGGGTAGAGAAAGCGAGAGCTTACATGTAATGAGAAATGAAAGTTGAGCTTGAGAGTGAGAGAAGACGTTGAGAAGAGAAAGATAAAAAAAATCGAGGAGAAGTTGCTAAGATTACCGAGATAGTTAAAATTAGGTTTTGTGTGAGAATATTTTTTTCTAAAATTTTAATAAAAAATAACAAAAATATCTTTGGGACACATGTGATAGTCACATGTCAGTCTCTAGAAAAACATCGAACATCCTCGAACTCATTCAATCATACCCTGCCATCATGACATGCCCTTGGTATGCACCACAGTCGTTTTCGTGTCGAGAATGTATCAGATACTTGAAACTGGGTTCCTTTACTGGCGTCGTGATTTAAAGTGCTGAACTATGAGTGGATTTGTTGGAAGAATTCATAACAGTGGAAGCCTTGACATTAGAAGTTCTAGTGTCTTGGTGGTAAGAATTCAAAGGAAGTCTAAAATTCATACAAGAAGAGAGAAAAACTCTTCACAAAGCAAAGACGAAAGGTAACCGAAACTATTAATGGTTTAAGCAGATTACAAACCTTTTCATAAGTAATATTAGCAGTTAAACTTAAGCATGAATCTGTCCTTATGCAGGTTGATTTAGATTCACCTGCGAAGATGACGATGGAGAAAATAAAAACTTATATACTCTTTTTAATTTTATATATTCAATATGTCACATCAGTGATCTGTTAAAAGTCTAACGATAATTAATCCTTAGTGTTTACGTCTTAATTAAATAAAAAACGACTAAATATTATGTATTTTAAATTCAATGAAGTAAAGTATACAAAACTTAAACGAAAGTGATCAATTTAGTATTTTATCCATAATTAAATAAAAGTAACTAAATACCTAAATACACGTGTCTCACACTTGACTGAAGAAACTAGTTAAATAAAAATATATAAATATACCAAAATATTTTATATGATTGTTATAAAGATAAAAAATATATAAATATTTTTGTTTAAAATATATTAAATAATTTAATTAGACATCTTTAGCACAAAATCTGATTGGATCAAAACCCAAATTTGGCCCAAAGGTTCACCAAAGCGGGTCAACACAATTCGATTTCAATCGAGTCAAGTCAACATTAGTTCCAACCAACCAAATTTATCCACGTCACATTTATCCAGACGTCGACTTATTATTGGCTCAGATTATGTTGCTCGAACGTGTCAACCTGCGAAGAAAACTTCCCTCCCTCTCAAAAAAGCCCGATTCCAACTCTTCCTCTAGAATTCCTTCACAATACAAAACCGTTAACTTTCCGATTTGATCTGAAAACAGTTTCATCCACCGTGGCGCCGTCGGGGTCGCAAGCACTCTCTCGCAGAAAACCATCTAACCCGTCAAGTCCAGGTGCGAGCAGAGAAGATCGAAAAGAACATTCTAGAAAGAGTACGCTGGTCGATTATCCATTTTGGCAGCAGAATTGGTTCATCGGATTGTTATTCCTGATGGCGATTGGATTCTTAGGTTTTGGTCTCTTCTTCTTCCTCACTCTCGGTTTCGATCAAGGCTCTCATTCCTCCGCCTCCGCTGCCTCCTCCTCCTCCTCCCAAAACGTCGAGGTTTCTAAAAATCACTTTTCAATGATCTCTCATGTTTTTCTCTTTGAAAAATGATTTTTTGTTTTTTAGCTTCATTATCTAAAATGAATGCGATCAGATTACTTATGGGACGGTTCTAAAGCTAATGCACGAGAAAACTAAAGTTAGGTTGCATTCACACGAGGTGCCGTACGGTTCTGGAAGTGGACAGCAATCCGTTACCGGCTTTCCTAGTGTAGATGACTCCAACAGCTACTGGGTACTCTCTCGTCTCTATTACCACCTATTTTTTATTTGATCTGATCTTCTAAAGTAGTTTCCGAAAGTTTCATTTGTGTTGCAAATATTTTTTGTTTTTCATAATAGTAAACATTTTTGTTTGTTTCAATAATGATAAACCATGTGCATGTATTATTGTGTTTTTTTATTTAGAATTCATATGATGTGGTTCAAGAAAATGAAATTCTTTGTTTCTGCAATTTCTATGTTTATGCTGACCAGTGCCATTGTTTTGTCTCTGCATTTCTTTTCTTGAAATAATTTGAGAAAGGTTAAATTCAAGTTTGGGATTTTACTACTTTGTAGTCAAAATCTTGATTAATTGTGTGAGAGTATGTTCATCATCAACCCTTTAAATTTTAGACTATGCTTTGCAGATTGTTAGGCCTGAACCTGATACATCTGCTAAACAAGGAGATACCATTCCTGATGGGGCAATTATTAGGTTGCTACACATGAGGACTAGAAAGTGGTTGCATAGCCATCTGTATGCCTCTCCGATATCAGGAAACCTAGAGGTTAGCATCTTTTACTGTTTCGATAGTCAATCTTAATTTGAACTTCTCAAACTTCATCAATTTTTAAGTTAATGTTTATTGATGTTGGTAAACCGTGTGGCGCTCTTCTAAAATTGGTTAACAGATGAATAATTGCTTTCAAAGTAGTTCCCATGCTTTCAATCATGCAAACGTACTGATAATGACCTTATCCTGTGGTGTTGGGTGTAGGTTAGCTGCTTTGAAGGAGAGTCTGAATCCGATACTGGTGATTACTGGAGGTGAGACAAACTTTCCTATTGTCAAATTTATGTTTATCTTTTTTCGTTTTCTGTTGTGCTGGTGTTTCATTATTGGACAATCCTCTTCAGGCTTGTTATTGAGGGAAATGGGAAGACATGGAAGCAAGATCAAAGGATTCGGCTTCTACATATCGACTCCAGTGGTTACCTGCATAGTCATGACAAGAAATACTCCAGAATTGCTGGTGGACAGCAAGAGGTAAGAATGGAAATATACTTTAATATTGAACATAAAATACATATGCCAGCCTCTTCAATATAGTCTATCATAAGTATTTAAGTAATGTTTTTTTTTTCTTTTCTCTCGACTAATTTTCAATCAGGTAATATACATGTACTTGCTAAGCTCATCATTTAGTGTGAGTTGCACATTTTCTATTGTACTTTTTATGAACTGTTAATGGTAAAGGCAGTTGGCCAAAATGTATACTTCTGAATTTTATTGGCATTTGCTTCTTGTTTGTATGTTAAAACCATTTCAACATTTCGGTGTAGGTTTGTGGTGTTCGAGAAAAGCGTGCCGGTAATGTATGGTTGGCCGCAGAAGGTGTGTATCTCCCCATTACTGAAAGCAAGTAGTCTATATATCTGTAAAAGCAGGTGCATGGGTTTTGGATTTTTAGGTGGCTGGTGCCTGCTTATTTAGTACCTTGCCAAACAATTTTCTTTACTAATACACTACAATGCTGCTTACGCGACTTCAGATTATATGTATTGAGTAATTTTTTTTCATTATAAAGCAATTAAATTTCCTCTTTTTACAAAAAAAACTTTTATCAGTATGAATAAGGAAAAGAGGATAAATATTGTAAGAAAAAACGAATAGTTTCTTGAACTGCAGCATTGCTCAACTCTGGTCAACAAGTGTGACCTTGTTGAGGAGATATACAATGTTCAAAATGAGCATGACACTGCATCAGCAGTATGTGTAGGCAGATCAATCCATGGAGCATGGTAAACGAACCTATTTTTCTTTATGAATCACAAGACAAAAATGTCTTTCTGAACATGTTAAGATACCAACGAATGAAAGAAAGTTAACTCGATTGTTCACATCTGGGAAGGAAAATTTTAACACAACGATTTTGACTTGGGCCTAATCTAAAAGCTTGAGGGATTAGCTGTTTCCATACATTGGCAAAGAATGTATGGATTCGGTTTTTTCTTGCCCATTAGGGCATCCACGTTGTTTATTTAGTAAGGCACCTAGGTTTTTATTTTGGATCTACAGCATTTTCTTTAGTGTACATGAGATGATGAGTTTCAATTAAAAATATTTGTATTCAAACTCATTATCTCGAAGTGACGAGTTCTAATAAAATATATTTTTTATTAAAATTTATCACATCGAGGTAAAATGTTTGAATAAAATAAATATTTTTTTATTGAAATTCATCATTTCAACGTGACGAGTTTCATATTTTTAGAAAATGTTGTAGATCCCAAAATAAAAATTAGTGTGCCCTATTGCAAATTTTGTAGACTACCCTATTAGGCCTAAAAAACCTATGGATTATCAAGAGACGGAAATCATGGGGTCTCCCCACCACGGATATCTAGAGATGGCAACGGATCGGGTTTTTGGTGTCAATCTAACTCGACCTGAAAAATATATACCCTCTACTTAATCTGATTCAACTTGAAAAATATACACCCTCCACCCAACTTAACTCGACCGGAGAGTATATTTTCTCTACTTAGATTCGATCTAACCCGAATTTTAGACTATAAATATGATATGACCAACCAAAATCGATTTAAAATAAGGACCTAATTAAAAATAATAATAGAGAAGGGATATTATAGCAATTATCCGTAAAAGTATATAAAACTTATATTATTACCCTTGAATCGGGCTATGTTAGTCATTTTTCACCCTTCACCTGATTCGACTTGACTCTTATATAAAATTTGACATAACCTGATCCGAATTCGATTTTTTTAAAAAAAAATCAACTTTATCGATTGGATCATGTTGAAATTCATGAATTTTGAATTAAATTGCAAACCCTATTAGTAAAAGCTACAAATACATCTCTATTACTCTATTAGGTTACTTAAACTAGTAAAAATAAATCAATGGCATCACTGGACATAAATGAGAAGAGCTTACCTTTTGCAGCATTTATTAGATTTATATAACTCTATTTAATTTGATAAAATGTTGTCCTTGACAGTGGCGGAAGTAGGTATTGCCCATGTACCCATTCTGAAATTGAATTCTCTTATACTATTGTTTATTTTATTGATAGTACCTATCTTCTTCTTTTTTTTTTTTTGAAAATGATAATTCACTTAATTTTTAATACTTTAAAAGGACTAAATTGATATTTAAGTAAAAAAAATGATACTATCAACTTTCAAGTGGGGACGAATCTAGCCCGTAGTAGCATTCCTTAATGTAAGGGCTAAACCTAAGCCCTTTGTGCTTAAATAAATCAACTTGCATCAATATATAATTGAGTGGTCTCAGTAATTAAAGAAAGTATTATTATCCTTTAAGATTTCGGGTTTGAATAGTTTTGTTTATAAAGTATATGTGTGTTGTCAATAATTAAAAAATATTATAAACAAATATTATCTTGTAATTATCCCAAACTATTAAAAAATATTACAACATTACATACATATTCTAATTATAATTACATTTTACATTATTTTATAACTAGGGGTTAATTTTGTAAATATTTTAAATTCATATTCTAAATTAACATTATAATTAAATTATCCAAACGTTAATATTGTATTGATGAAATCCTTTCCTCAATCTAATAATCAATTTGTGCGTTAAATACAAACTCAAACAAAATGTGAATAATATTCTAATAAAATGCTTGCAAGGCCTCTACCAGACCATGCATATAAGGAACAACTCATGCACCCGAATTTGCGAGTTCGTAGCATTTAGAGGCAATCCTTTGAGATTATGTATCGAAATTGTTTTTTTTTATTAATTTGGGTAAGTACGAGGTTGTATCTATTCAGAGATAAATCTCAATTATTTAACATTGAACGCTCATACCTCTGGTATTTTTTATGCTCAAACCCGAAACTCTAAAAAAATTACAACAATTCTTTTACCACCAAAGTCACTTGGTTTACTTGTGAGGTAAAAGGAAGAATACATATACAGATTGTGAGTAGGTTTACTTGTATATTGTAACTCAAGTCTAAATGAGAATAAAGACAATATAAGCATCTTTTTGTGCATTTTCTTACACCTCTTTTTCTCGAATTACTACAATTATGGGTTAAAAAACCAAGAGAGGTGTTTTTTTTAGGCATTTTTATGGTTTGTTTTGCATACCAAATAGGTCGTGGATTTTTCACTGTTCATGGAAGGAAGGTGTTTATGGTTTTAGTTACATTCCATATTACATTCCATATAGGCAGAGGCCACAGATTTCAGTTACATTCTTCATCGACGATTAAACTCATCATATTGTACTGGCGAGAGAATTGTATTATATGATTTTATTTTCAAGTACATATAGAAAAGTATTTTTCAGTATCATAGTAATGCAATAACAATTTCGGACGATACCTTTACCACTATATAATGACTATAATTTAAATCTCTGATTTTGACATTACATAATTCTAGCATCACAGACCAACACTGCATAACTCTGATATTATATACCTATGATATTACATGAAAGAAAAGTTTGGTGACGACTAGACGTCCTCGACAAGAAGGAACAATGTCGTTCACTGATTCAACATCCTGAAGAGAACGATCAGATCCTCTAAAGGCAACTAGATCTCCGCAACGTGCTGGAGCATACTATCTGTCATCTTTGAGATTGTTTCTCTCGAAACAAAGCTTCGTCTCGTTTGGGACAGTTTTTCTTAAACAAAATTGATCTCACTTGAGATTATTTTCTCTTGAAACAAATTTTGTCTCGCTTGAAACAACTTTCCCTCGAAACACAAATTTTGAAAGTGTTTCACTTGAAGCAAAATTGACCTCACTTGAGATTGTTTTCCTAAAAACAAATTTCATCTCGCTTGAGATATTTTTCCCTCGAAACACAAATTTTAAAATTATTTCACTTGAAACAAAATTGATCTCACTTGAGATTTTTTCCTCGGAACAAATTTTGTCTCGCTTGAGATAATTTTCCCTTGAAACACAAATTATGAAATTCTTTCACTCGAAACAAAATTTTATCTCACCTGAGATGGCTTCTTTGGAAACAAATTTCTTTCCACTCATTTGATTTCACTCAAATGTTGAAACTTTATAGGAATTCGAAAAGTTAGCGGAGAATTTCATTTCACAAACTCATGTCGAAGAAGAAGATTTCATTTTCAAGTCAATCATTGGCAACCATAACTAGATGTCCTAAACGAGAATGAGCAATGTCATCATTAGATTTGACACCGAGCAACGATAAGCTCTCCTCAACATGAAGGACCAACGTTGTCTTAAATTCAAACTATCTTTAGACAATTAGACTTCCTCTGCAAGAAGGAACAACATTGTCTTCAGATTCACAATCCTTCAAGAACAACAAGTTTTCCTCACCAAGAAAGAACCATGTCGAATCAAACCGTCAAGTACGACTAGATGTCCTCAACATGAAGGAACAATGTTGTTCACCAATCAGATCTCCTCAACGCAAAAGAGCAGTATCATCCTCAGACAATCAGACTTCCTCAACACGAAGGAATTGTATTGTCTCCAAATTATCCAAATACGGCTAGACATTCTCAACACGAAGGAACAATGTCGTTCACCGACCAGATCACCTTAACACAAAGAAGCAGTGTCATCCTCAGACAATCAGACTTCCTCAACACGGAACCGTGTTGTCTCCAAATTATCCAAATACGCCTAGATGTCCTCAATACGAAGAAACAATGTTGTCCACTGACCAGATCTCCTCAAAGCGAAGGAGCAGTGTCAAACTCAGACAATCAGACTTCCTCAATGTAAAGGAACCATGTTATCTTTAAATTGTCCAGATTTACCCGATTTCCTCAAGAAGAATGAACAACATCATCTGAAAGCGGTCAGGACTCTTTAACAGGGATGAGCAGTGTCGTCTTCAACATTAAATTACCTCGAGGCAGTCAGATTTCCTCAACACGAAGGAACAATATTGTATTAGATATGTCATCACTCGAGATATGACTAGACGTCATCAACATGAATGAACATTGTTATCTTTAAATCCTTTGTTTTCTGACAAAGAATTGAAGCTCCAGATGCAGAGTGAACATCATAGCTAGACAAAATTGGTGTTTATGGTCTTTGCTTTATTCTCTTCATGCGACAATGGGCACAGAGACAAATTATTCGGTTGAAAGTTCGAGGAAAAAATCAAATAGAAGACTGATGAGGGATATTGGTGCCCGAAGATGGAGTTGCAATGTGTTCAGAAAAAAATTAGGACATTATTTGTCTTTGCTTTGTCATTGTTTACACAACAGATGAGCAAAGAGGGGCAGCTGTAATACCCTAATTTTGTCTGAAAATCAAAATTGGATTGAAGACACTTGAAAATTAGTTTGAAGATGGTTGTGCATCGATTGGCTCAAGTGGAATTGGTAACATGAACAAAAAAATTCATGAAATTCTACATTTGAGGCGTCGAGAGACTTTAACCGAGAATGATGAATTTTTAGCGCATATTTAAGTTGCTTTAGTGGTCATATATTCATTCAAGTAATTTAAAATTCCAAATTGTAAATTTGGTGATGACTAAGGACCAAATTTTATTTTTTACCATTTTAACTTTGAGTTAGGTTA